GTAAACCATCTAGTTCATTAATTTCTAACACAAATCAGTAGCCTGACCATTTTCCAAACCAAACTACTGCAGAATCAGTTTTATTTCTGGACAGTCTCCAAAGATTGGTGGATTTCAGTTTCTCCAAAAAAAAAAAAAAATGGTGGCTTGTACTCAGGGCCTTGAGCTTGCATTCTAATTGAGCAAAGCCTCCAACCTAGTTTCTCCAAAAACTTTTTTTTTTTTCTTACATGGTACTGGGTTTGAACTCAGAGCTTTGCGATTGCTAGGCACTCCACCACTTAAGCCAAGCTGCCACCATTTTTACCCTGGTTATTTTTTGAGATAGGGTCTCACTTTGTGCTCAGGCCAGACTGGACTGAAATCCTCCTATTTTATGCTTTCAACCATTGCTGGGATGACAGGCACATACCACGGCACCCAGCTTTTTTTCTCGAGACGGAGGTCTGGCTAACTTTTCTGCCTGGTGTGAACTGTAACCACGATCCTCCAGATCCCAGCCTAACGGTAGGGGGGATGAGCGGTGCACACACAATTACTGGCTGAGATGAGATCTCACTGGTTTTGCCCAGTGTGGCCTCAAACTGCCATTCTCCTGATCTCAGCTTTCCAAGTAGGTAGGAGTATAGGCATGAGCCACCAGTACTGGGCTCAAAAATTTCAACATACAATGATTCTCCACATGCAGTGAGGACTTGGGTAACTTGTCACTCTTCTGAGTTCAACCCAAGCCTCATCTTCTTGAAGAGATGCCATATACCATCATGTTGAGCAGAGTCCCAGGTTCCAAAGGGAATACTGTCACAGTGATGATCAATGATTTCTCTTCATCTCAACTCTGTTTTGTAGGGTGCTATTATAAACCCTTATAAAACTTATCTTTTAATTTTAGCATGTAATTTTTCCATAAGTTGCAAATCAATGAGTAATTTACCTGTTATTTTCAAGACCTTTAGAAATTTTTAAGTGTAATCCTTAAAAACAACTTAATATTTAACATACATATATATATATATATATATATATATATTTGTTTGTTTCTTTTGTTTCATTTTGTTTTGGTGGTACTAGGGTTTGAACTCAGGATTTCACACTTGCTAGGCAGGCACTCTTCTGCTTGAGCCACTCCACCAGTCCTGTTTTGTACTGGGAATTTTTGAGATAAGGTCTCACAAACTATTTGCCCAGGGCTGGTTTCAGACCTCGATCCTCCTGATCTCTGCCTCCAGAGTAGCGAGGATTACAGGCCTGAGCCACCAGCGTCCAGCAACATATATTTATTTTTGACAATTTAAGTGATCCACACTTCAGAGTAAAGTACAATGATGTTGGACATACGTTGTTTGCTTCCCCAGGATCCATGTTTCTCTTCTTCCTTTCCAACAGCCTTATACTTCTTTTGTGGGACTCCATACAGTTCTTTCACTGACTTCACTTCTCTGGGGCCAGAGATTGATTAAGAAGGGCATGTCCAGCCATGAAGAAGAACGAAATGTTATCATTCGCTGGTAAATGGATGGAATTGGAGAACATCATTCTGAGTGAGGTTAGCCTGGCCCAAAAGACCAAAAATCGTATGTTCTCCCTCATATGTGGACATTAGATCAAGGGTAAACACAACAAGGGATTGGACTATGAGCACATGATAAAAGCGAGAGCACACAAGGAAGGGGTGAGGATAGGTAAGACACCTAAAAAACTAGCTAGCATTTGTTACCCTTAACACAGAGAAACTAAAGCAGATACCTTAAAGCAACTGAGGCCAATAGGAAAAGGGGAACAGGTACTAGAGAAAAGGTTAGATCAAAAAGAATTAACCTAGAAGGTAACACCCACGCACAGGAAATCAATGTGAGTCAATGCCCTGTATAGCTATCCTTATCTCAACCAGCAAAAACCCTTGTTCCTTCCTATTATTGCTTATACTCTCTCTACAACAAAATTAGAAATAAGGGCAAAATAGTTTCTGCTGGGTATTGAGGGGGGGGAGAGGGAGGGGGCGGAGTGGGTGGTAAGGGAGGGGGTGGGGGCAGGGGGGAGAAATGAACCAAGCCTTGTATGCACATATGAATAATCAAAGAAAAAGAAAAAAAAAAGAAGGGCATGTCATTTCAGCCAGGTCAGCAGGAGTGAATCTCAGGACTGCTCTGCAAATGCTGGGACATGTTTTCTCTTTCCTGTGAAACATGAGCAAGTACCCAAATGCCCTAGGAGCTTCTGGTCTTTGTATTCCTGCTGTTCATTCAAAAACATTTATGAACATCTGTTGTGTGCCAGATGGGAAAATATAAAGTTGAATGAGATACAGCCACTCACGTTAAGTCATTTATATTTCAGCTAGGTATGGTGGCACATGCCTGTAGTATCACTTGGGATGTAGAGGCAGGAGGATTGAGAGTTTGAGGCCAGTCTGGACTACATAGTGACACCCTGTCTCAAAACAAGACATTTATATTCCAGTGGAGAAAATAGGGAGACAAAATGGTAGTCAATGTTCGTGAAAAATGACAGAACAAATTCTAGGGATAGACCAAACTGGTTGCTTCAGGACATCTTCAGAGCTTCAAATGGATTTTCTGACCATCCCTTTTACAGAGGTGTAAAGTGCACCAGTCTGTCTGGAACCACTTGATTATCTGAATGTTGGAGAAATTTGTTACAGGAGCCCAATCGAAAAAGGGAAGGGTGAACAGTCTCCTCCGTTACTCATAAGTGTCTTAATCCAAGTGCAAGAGTAACTTGAAACCAGCTTTCTGGTTACATTGAAATACTTGGATGGTGATAATACCATCCTTCAATATTAAGGAGGAAAATAAGATAGTACTCCGAATGTGCACTCATATCTCCTTAAAGGTTTTTTTTGGATTTTTTTGGTAGTACTGGTGTTTGAATTCAGAACCTCACATTTGTTAGGCAAGTGCTCTGGCACTTGTCCCACGCCCTCAGTCCTTTTTTCCCTTTAGTTTTTCAGATAGGGTCTCATACTTTTGCCAGGGTTGCCTTGGACTCCGATCCGCCTGTCTCCACATCATTAATAATGGTTTTTTCTTTCTGCTCAATAATATACCTCTATGAAAGATTTTGATACAAACCATACCTTACTATGACTATCTAGCCCATCCGATCAGATTACAGGAAATATATAAAATACCTGAAATCTAGAGTAGGTATTGGCAGGTATAGGCCAGGTGGAAGAATAACTTCCTCAGATGTCATTAGAATCATAAGGATAGTTTTCCACGACTAAACACACCCCCATGTCACCGCCCCCCCCATGAGATTTCCATGTGAGTTTTCCCTCAAAATCACTCTTAATGTATCATCTTACTTCTGATGGGGTAGACAAAACACTGAGATCTGATCTAGCGATTTGCAGCATGGAGAGGGCCCTGAAACTGAGGGGATAAATAGCAAACTGTGGAGCTGGTTAATGACAGCATGAATCATTAAATCATGATACATGTCATTTGTGTGCAAGAGCTCTTATCATTGCATTTTCTAACGTTGGTCAAAGGTAGAAAGTCATCATTGTTGATCACAAATTTTAGTTCTGATGTAAAAACATTGATCAAATGTTGAGAAGAGTTCATTTGGCTTCTTAAGGCCAAGGAAAATGTAAAGACCTTTTGCTTGGCGGTAAAGCAATTACTCTCAGCGCAAGGTTTGTGACTATCTAGCAAAATTAGCATTGTTTTGGTTGCTTAAAGTATCCCACCCTAAGCTTTAGAAGTGTGAGAACAGGAGATACGACAGGAACAGTAGAGCCCATGGTAGTTGAGGATGACAGCGAAAAGGGGCAAATACCGTCTAATGAAACTCATCATGAACTTGTCACCTCATTTAAAATTACACCCAAAGAATCCAAGGAAATAGGCAAGTTATACGATGGTGTGGATTTCACGATAGAGTACATATGAAATAGATTTCATATATTTTGCCAACCTAAAATGTGCTCTGTGGGGCGAGGCTCCAGTAGGGCTCCCTCAGCCGGGTCGCCAACCCACCAGCCTCGGCGTGGGCGTCTGGGACCTCCAAGCCACGGCCACAATTCTGCATCCCGACCGGGTTCCCTGATGTGCGACACAGCGTCAACACGAGTGATCCTCGTAAACGTCTACAAGGTGGGACCTTCCCCATTGCTGACTTTCACAACGTCCACCAAGCGGTGGAGAATGTGAACGAGTTTATCTCAGGGTCTGCTCGATCACTTCGATGATACGCCGGCTCCCGGGACGCTCGGGCGCCGGGATCCCGAGCGGCGCTGCGGCTGACGCCAGGTGGCCGAGCAGAGCGGAGTCAGCAGTCAAAGCGGGACCAGGGCCCTTGGCAAAATCCTAGTCTTCTGCGGCCCTCTTCTCACGTATGCGTTGCAAGCTTCTCGCGGCGCCCAGGCAAGCTCACCTCGTTGCCGCCCCGGGGTCCCCACCCCACGTCCTCTGGCGGCTGGCAGAGACCCGACATTAGGACCGCGCGGAAGCCGCCGTAGAAAGGCGGCCAGGCAGCAGCTGGGCGTGGCTCCTCGGCGAAAGACGGCCCCTGGGGCGGGGAGATCTACGTCACCGTCGACTCGGAGCGATGATTGGCTGAAGCGCGGTGCGCGGATCCCGCAAGCGTCACCGCCCAGCCCAGCCGCTCCATCCGCGCCGGCTCGCGAGGGAACCGCTTAGGCGCCGCCGCCCCAGCCCAGTGCGGACGACTGAGAGAAGGAGGCGGAAGGAGAACACGCTCGCTCCCATCAGCTCCCGGGCTCCCAGAACCGGCGCGGCGCCCAGGGGGAGGAGCCGCCGCGGGCACGCCCGCCTCTGGCCCAGGACACCGCCGCCAGCGACCCCGCCGGCCGGCCGGCCGCCGCCCCCTTGGCCGGCCGAGACCCACCCCCGGCCCTCCCCCAGCGGCATGAAGGGGCCCCGCTCTGACGGCCGCGCCGCCGCCCCGGCCCCCGCCCCACCGCGCGCCCCTCCCGCCCGCCCGCTCGCATGTCCGCGCCGCGCTAGCCGAGGATGCTGAGGATGAAGCTCCGCTGAAGCCGACGCACCCCGCCGAGCCGCCGCCCGAGGCAGAGGAGCCCGAATCGGACGCGCGGCTGGGCGCAAAGGCGCCTCCGCGCCGCCGCCGTGACTGCCGCCCCCGCCGCCGCCGCCCGCGGGCCGCCGCGGGGTCCCCTGCCGCCGCCGCCCGGGGGGCTCAGGCCGCCTGTTGCTGGCGGGCCGCCGGCGGCGGGGGCGGGCATGCCGGGCGGCGGCGGCGGCGGAGGGGGGCCCGCGGCGGCGGCGACGGCGCTGCGCGAGCAGGAGCGAGTGTACGAGTGGTTCGGGCTGGTGCTGGGCTCGGCGCAGCGCCTGGAGTTCATGTGCGGGCTGTTGGACCTGTGCAACCCGCTGGAGCTGCGCTTCCTCGGCTCGTGCCTGGAGGACCTGGCGCGCAAGGACTACCACTACCTGCGCGACTCGGAGGCCAAGGCCAATGGCCTCTCGGACCCGGGGCCGCTGGCTGACTTCCGAGAGCCCGCCGTGCGCTCTCGCCTCATCGTGTACCTGGCGCTGTTGGGCTCGGAGAACCGGGAAGCTGCCGGCCGTCTGCACCGCCTCCTGCCCCAGGTGGACTCGGTGCTCAAGAGCCTGCGCGCGGCCCGGGCCGAGGGCTCGCGGGGCAGCGCGGACGATGAGCCGGCCGGCGAGGACGGCGACGCCGAGCAGGACGGTTCCGGCCCGGAAGGCGGCGGCGCGGAGCCCCGGGCGGGAGGCGTGCTGGGCTCCAGGGCCCAGGAGGAGCTGCTGCTGCTGTTCACCATGGCTTCGCTGCACCCGGCGTTCTCCTTCCACCAGCGGGTCACCCTGAGGGAGCACCTGGAGCGGCTCCGCCACGCGCTCCGCCGGAGCCCCGAGGACGCGGAGGTGGAGCCCTGCAACTTTGCCGGCCCCAAGGCCCAGGTAAGTCGGGGCCCCCGGCCCGGCGCAGGGGGGTTGGATTTCCACGCCGCCTCTCCCAGCCCCCGGGGTCCTCGCCTTCGCGTGGTTGGGCCGCTCAGCTCCACTCCCCCCCACCCCCCCATGCACACATCGCCACCCGCCATAACAGAACGCTCTAGAAGTCTTCCGTGCCGGAGTTGCCCCGGGGGACGCGAGGCGGGAGGGGCTCGGGACATCCTGGGCTTTGGGCAGCCCCAGCCCTCCCCCCCACACCCGGTGGGGCGTCCCGAAGGTGCGCTGCGGACCAGCTGCCCTTGGCGCTGGCCTAAGAGCTTTTTATGTTCTGTGCGCGCCCGAGTTAAAAGGGATTGTAGGGATCTTTTGGCAGAACTGTGCTGATGTGACCTGCGAATTGACTTGAGATAAACACTGGTGCAGATGTGTGGGTTCAAAGAGCGTCCTGGGGCGGTCTGGTCCTCCGCTGTACCCCGCATAGCCAGCTTTCTCAGGGGCTCATTTGTGCCTACAGATGTGGATCCGGGGATTTGTTGGGTCCCTACTACAGGAATTGGTACTGTTCAGAGAGTTAGATATCAAAGTGTAGTACATGAGGATCCAGATGAGTCAGTTGTCACAAACATTAAAGGATTTTTATAGAGCAATTTCATTATCTGGGCCCAGTTAAGTCCTTGTGAGTGACGGTTTAATGGAGAAGAGGGGAGGAGGTTTCGTTTACAATGAAAACTGTACGCTTACAGTTGATTTGTGTACACCAGACTTTTGAAGGGTATTGATTGGGATGTCATGCTTTTTAAATTAATCTCCAGGACCCCCCCCCCCGCCCTTGCTTGGGAAGTTAATTCTGCTTATATGTCTGTGTAATTCAGTATCTTAGAGCTAAAATTGCGTGTTGTGTTTCGCTAATAGTTGAAAAGATAATCTAAGCTGAGCCCCTCATTTTTACCAGGAGGCTTCTATGAAGCGACAATCTTGTTTTAGGACACATTTTATCAAACTCAAGTGCAGTAACGCCACAGTAGCCAGCATTTTCTCCATCCCGTGAAATGCCTATTTAAGTGTGTGTAGTAAGGGTGTTCAAACCAAGTCCTCCCTTCAGCCTACTCACCAAAACGCACCTGAAAAGCTACGCCGCAAAGCCAGTAAGTTTAAAGCAGAAAGCATGGGTTCTGGGACAATGGAAAACACTTTAACGTATTTTGTAGTAACAGTGTATATGGTAAGGATAACCTTGAATGTAGGTCTGGTGAAAATGTCCCACAGTGGAACAACTTTTATATCCTTTCCATTAATACCAGTCTCACAAGGGTACATCAGAGGTTCCAGATTTTAATCTGCTAGGAGTCTTTTTTCCCTTCCCTTTATTTCTTTAAAATCTGGCTTTTAATGTGATTATTGTAAAGCAACTAGACTAAGGAAAGAGGTGCGCGCTAACCAGAGTAGACATTTTTTACCTTGGCAGTTGCTTGACCTTTTCTGGCAACCAGTGAGTGCTGAGGAGGGGACCAAGCGGATTGGGCATCCTGCCGTAAATTCAGTCCAGCCTTACTTCGGGAAGTGCCCTGGGCTGTGGCCATCAGCTGGAGTTCCTTACTACAGGTGACACAGCCTGTTCTAGACCCCTGGCGCTGTGCTGAACTTTTTCTCCAGTAGTTGTTTAGGGTTGCCCTAACATGTCGTTTACGGCATTCAGTTGCCACGACCCCACGTTTCTGCATCTAAGAGTGGCCTCCAAGTCCTCTGGCTGTGGCGCGGTTTGCGAATCTCGTCCAGGCTGTCACTCCGGACTGCGGGCGGTGGGCTGATGAAAAGCCCCGAGGCGCTGCAGTCCCGCCCCGCCGAGGCTCGGCCTCTGCCGCACTGCGCCCCGGTGAGGGCGGGAGGGCCTCGGGGTCTGCGGGGGGCGCCCGGGGCTCGTGGGGCCCGGCGGTCACGCGCCGTCGCGGCTCGCACATTGCGGCGTGGGGCCTGTCCGGGGCGCGCCGCGTGACGGGCGTGGCCCCGCCCCCGAGAGGTGGCCGCGCCCCGCGCCGCCTTGGTGTCTGCGGGAGGCTGACGTTGGAGGTAGGGGGTAGCCCAGGACCACGTGGGCCGAGGACCTGGGAAGGGAAAGTTCGTGTGGCAGCGGCTTAGTGCCCCAGACTAATGTTGTGGTCACAAGTGTGCAACTGCTGCCGATGGCTTAGGAATCCAGTTTTTCCTTATCACTGTCGAAGTGAAACTTCTCAGTGCTCCAGTGTATTGTCACCCATACTAAATGGATGAAGCAAAACTATTTTAAATTTTTTTATTTAAACAAAAGTGCTCTGCCCCAGAGTAGTGTTTCTGGCCCTCATAAAGACTATTACCCGGTAATGAAGCAGCCCCTCTTTTTTTTTTTTTTTAACTGACTTTTACCGGTAGAACATTTGCTTTAATGCTAGTTTTATATTATATCTCTTGAAGAGATCCAGCACATACTTCAGGGTCGTGCCATGGTTACAGTGTTAATAATTGGTGACAAATCCACAAATTACCTCTAGAATCTAATACTGGGTTGGTCACATTAGAAACAGGAAGATTGAACAAATACGTTTTTTTCTTAAAAGCGACATTTCCAGTTTTTAAAAATGTGATATGGATGATTGTATAGTGTTAAGGTTGAATTGCAATTTGAACATTGGCATTCCTTTTAGGAGACTTGTATGTAAGTTTCAGTAGACTGCCAGTAACCTGTATAAAATTCAACATATAGGCCAATGAGGGTAGTGGAAATAACGCATTAACAGTATCTTAGGAAATGCACGTGATGTAGTTCTGTACGGGCCTCATGTATAGCACAACTGAAAACACTTTGCTTTGAAAATGGGTCTCGTTATTAGGCAAATAAACTCTAAATTGTGCATTAGGAGCAACACCAAAAAAAAAAAAAACCTGCATAAATATTTTTATAAATACCAGTTTTGTTGCTGCTTCATTGAAAAACAGATACCAAGATAGGCAGACTTCCTGAATTTTCATGCTTAAAGGCAGTCTTAAACTATTATGAACACGGATATTCTAATTTTGGAGGTTTATCCTCCAGCTAGCAATACAGATGTGTGAGAAACAAAATACCTAGGCTATAGTGGTAGTGCTTAGTGGTTAATATTGAAGGTTTAGCTGTTCTGTAGTGATGATGTTCCCAAGATCCTCAAAGCTTACTTGCTTGGCCTGACAGTACTAATATTTGAATAAAAGATAAGAATGTTAACTTTTAATACCAAGACACATGATTCTATGTCATAGTGTCATTTGAACTCATAAAGCATAACTGAACTCTGTCATTTCAACTTAAAAAAATCAGTGGCCATGTGTTCTTTACTTTTTAATATTAGTACAATAAGATAAGGAAAACCATGTGAAACTGTTACCCTTTCACAATTTAAGTAAATTAGCTGTATTGTCCTTAAGTGACTGACTGCTTTGATTCATTTTGCGATGCAAATAGTGTATTAGTAGTGTTGGAGCCTGAGAAAGAATTTTTTTTAACTTAACTGTTTTTAACATAACTTTTTTAACATAACTGTTACTACTTCAAGAAACTGAATGTATATGTGCCAACCAGAATCTTAGAAAAAGCAGCTCCGTAAAATGAAAGGAAAGGTTGGTTGTCAGGATTTCTATCCTTATTGTATTGTGCACCTGAAAGGTGCTTTTTAAAAAAAATGACTTTTAAAAAGAATAGTGTTTATGTTTTTGAGACAGAGTCTGCTCACATAGCCGAGCTCAAACTCAACACTGATCTGCCTCTCTGCCACATGAGTACAGGCGTGTGCTACCACGTCTGGCTAAAAAAGAATAGTTTCAGCACTCACTGGTAATAAACACCTTCATTTACTTTTTTGGCCACTGCTAGAATAATCAATATTTTACAGTGAATAAAGTCCTTGGAACTGTGGTCCCCTCCTGAGGCTTTCCTCACTTAAAAGTCGAGAATGCTAACAGTACTTTGTTTAGATTGCTAGGAGTCAAGAAACTGTACTCTTAGAATAATTTCTGGTACATAGTCTTCAGTCAACATTAGGGATTTTAGGTAGAAGTTCAACTTAGCTTGGAAGGTGGGGAAAAGGGAGTAGGTACAGCATCTCATAAATTGAGAATAGGAGCAGTAATAGCCCTGTCTGTGATGAGAAATTTTAGGTTAGTTGGCTGCAGCAAAGAATAAAAGCAAATTCAGTTATAAAAGAGTTTTGGAAGAGACTTTTTTGAATATTAAGTAGTGGTTATTTTAGTAGCAGATAACCACTAAAATATTGAGTATGCTTGCCTAGGTGCATTTTTTCTGTACAGTGGTTTTCTTATGGTGTGGAAAGTTTCATACCACAGTGAGAGGGATGTGGAGTATGGAAAGGAAGCAAGTGCCTTACCTCAAGTGAACTAAGATATGTCAGTATCTAGATGAATCTGTCTGTCTACATACATATTTTTCTTTACTATCTTTTTTGATTTTCTTTGTAAGGAAGGGATGGATGGGGGAGGTGTGTTGTAGAGGCCTTGAAGCCATACAGCTATGTTTAGTGCAGCACTTCTTGGGCCTTTAAATTCCATCTTTGCCACTAGCTCTACGATATTAACTGGGCCACTTAAAACATCAAGCTTTAGTTTGATATAAAATGGGGAGAGTAACTTCCTTTTGGGGTTGTGGTGACTGAATTAATGAAATAAGTTACAAAGTGATTCACATACAATTTTGAACTTAAATTCTCTGTGAGAATAGGACCTAGTGCAGCTTTGTTTTCCAGTACGACCACATCTTGTTTTCAGGAATGTGGGGGTTTGGGGAGTTTTATATATAATTTTTTACATTTTTGTTTTTCTCCTTGAAGTCCATAATGTGGAGTATTTTGTATATTGTTCTTTTTTGCCACACCTCTAGGTAGATTGGTGTTCAAGAAGGGTAGGTAATTAAAAAGCTAGTGCTTGAGACATGTTTATTTGAAGCAGTTATTTTTCTTAACACTTACATTGTAAAAATCTTTTGA